AATAAAACCCTACAGAATAGAGGTGACACCACTGTGCGTAAAAATATGCAATGGTCCATTCAACTGTACAGCACAAGGTTTCGTTGTTTTTTCATGCGTATTTTCCTAATGTTTTTTGTTGAAAATTTCTTAGTCAGCTTTTTTCAATTATTGTTTGTCTTGTTATTTTTAAATATAGCAGAGAAAAATACTATATGGTTCATAATTTGACAATTGGTGTGGACAACGAGAAAACATCAAAGCCGACATGTCTAGCGGGCGATTCGAGGTGAAATGCAAAAAATGTTAGTATGAGAAAACTGCTGTTGATACTCTGGAAAAACGGCTGCTGACAGAAACGAAACCAAATAGCGACAAAATTGACTAACGTAAATTATGGAAAGGAAGAACTATTGAGTAATGCAACGTATGGAGTCGTTTAGTAAAAACATTCCGTGCACCTCTTGGGTCAGTGCACACGCCGACTTGTGCGTGTGACAGACTCTTTACTGGCTGCAGTAGGAGAATTGTTAATAACCACCGAAGGTTTAGTAGTGGAATCTGGGCTGGAAATAGTTTCAGTTGTGATTTTGGGATGAACTAATGTGTAGGGTGAGGATTCTTCAGTGTATGACGCCTTGAGTCTGTCGACGCTCACATCGTCCTGATGGACAAGTCGTTCCATAACGTGGACATTTATCTTTCCGACTAAGAACCTTGAAAGTTCTGTCATATGGAGGTTGTAGGGGTCTACGCTCAGCGTTATGACGCACGAAAACATGTGTACAGTCATTAAATTGAGTATCCGCGTGTACTTTCTTGTCTGGAGACGTGCCGAAATTGGTCGAATTCGCTGTATAAAATGTCTAAGACTCTGGGTGAAACAGCTGACTTCAGTGACATTCAGCTCAATAGCTTAGGGGGCGATAAGCTCACTTGGTAAACAGAGAGTGATACCATGTACCAACTCTGCTGTGTTGCACTGAAGATCCACCTTGGGTGTAGAACGCATGCTGAGTAGGAGCAGAGGCAAAAGCTCTGTCCATCTGCTGTTATCTACCCCCATCATCAAGGCTTTCAGTTGGCGATGAAATCGCCCTACTAGTCAATTTGCTGACGGATGAGATGCAGTTGTCCTTATGCGTTTTCATCCCAACAGATCTAAAAGCATCCTGAAGCTTGATGATTTGAATTAGTGCCCACATTATGTGGTGACTGCAGAGATGCATTCAAAATGCTCAACCCATCCTTCCATGAACACACGGCAGATGGTTTCGGCCGTTACATCTGGGATAAGAATGGCTTCTGGCTAACGTGTAAAACGATCAATACACGTTAGCAAGTATGAGTGGCCGTTCAAAGGGGGCAGGGGAATAACGATATCCCGATGTACATGGTTGACATAAACAGGATCCTGGGCTAAGAGTTGGTTGCATTCCTATTTTTCTGATAGAATGCAGTGTACTGTATATAACGGCAAATCTTCTTCTACCTCGCTTACAAAATCCGGTGTTCCACAAGGTGCTGTCCTCTCTCCTTTTCTTTTTTCTTTCTTCCTACATGACCTGCCTCATTCAAACGAAACTAACTTTGTTAAATATGCAGATGATCTGACTGCATCATTGCCTATCACTTCTGAGGCGGACAGATAGAAACTTATTAGCTTTCTGTTGGACATCAACAACTGGTCCAAGTCAAATGGTCTTATATTAAATCCTTCCAAATGTCAGGCACTTGACTTCACTTTCAAGCATCGACGCGACTTACTTGAACTAGTTAGCTCGCATGATCCCTGTAGCATAGATGGCACGGAAGTTGAAACCAAATCAAGCATTAAATACCTTGGATTAGTTCTTCCCTCTGACCTTTCATGGTCATCACACATCTTATCTATCTCTAAGAAAATGTTTCGTCTTACCTACTACATTAAAAAGTAAAGACAATCAGGTATCAACCAAGCTTTAGTTTTGCAATTTTTAAACTCCTGTATCTTACCTATTGTACTCTAGTGTTCTCCATTAATCTTTCCTGGGCTTCTCAAGAAAGATTATGTCATATTACGAAGAGTATTAAATGTTGTGAGTAGAGCTTGTGGTCTGCCACTGCGTGAGCTCGCTGATACTATAGTCGAGAGGCAGATAAGTTCCTGTACGAAATGGGTAAAGGCTATAATGTCAGACCCTCTGCACTCACTTTATTCACACCTGTCCCCTTGTATCTCATCAGGTAGGACGAGAAGTCAATATAAAACGTTATATGCTCGTACCACTAAGTATAGAAATTCTACAATACCCTATTTAGCCCGTACTTTATGTGACGAAGACTCTGTTAGACGTGAAACATACAAGAAGTTACGATGTAATTAGCACAGTGAATCGACCCTTTCATTGTTCATCGTTCTGTATTTTATGGTGTCACACTTTCTATCGTTTAATTACTACTCTGCTATTTTATTTTAGTTGGTATTACTATTATTACTACAATTTTGTACTTTATGCATATTTTTCACCGTATGGTATACAGTATTTTGCTATGTAGCTGCTATAACAATCGTTTTATTACTATGATGTAATGTGTACTTTTAATTTTTTTTGTCGTTTTTGAGTAAATTAGATGCAATATTGTACTGAATGCTGAAAATTCCTTGCTGTATCACTAGTAATGTTTTTGGAATAAAGCAAATTATTATTATTATTAAACTGGTCATCTGGAGTTGCAAAAGTCCTCACGAGAGTGATATTGTGCTTGGTTACTTTAGAGCGTTAGCATTTCACACAAGCAGGTGCCCAGTTACGCAAATCATGGTTCATACTAGGCAACAAACTCAGCCAATATCAAATTGTCAGTTGCGCGTATCCCTGCATGTGTGAGAGGTTCGGAAGACATTGAAATATAGTGCGGCGTAAGGACATGGGAACAGAGGTCGCGGAGTGCCTGTAGACGTATCACATAGCATAGTCTCTTCACTGTTCAGCAGAGAGGCACCTTCTATCCGCAAGGGGAATTTTCGTGACAGTTTTTCTAAGTCTAAATCCGTGAGCTGCGATTGAGCCATTTAATTAAGTTTATTGGTTGGAAGTGGTGACATTGTGCATACTCGGGACAAAGCATCTGTCACAGGGTTGTCGGCCCAATAAATTTGCTGAATATCAGAAGTGAAATGTGAAATATAGTCTAAGTGACGTAATTCACGTGGGGAGTACCTGTCTGTGGTGGTGCAAAAGGCATACGTTAGTGGTTTCTGGCCGGTGAATTCCGTGAAATGCCAACCTTCGACGAAATGGCGAAAATGCTTGATAGCAGCATACATGGCAAGGAGTTCTGACAAAAGTGCTATACTTTGCTTCAGCTGCGGACAGCTTCCGATGTAGTCAGAACCAATTGCATTCAGGAGCGTGACAACAAGACTCAACAGAAAAGACAGAAATGAAGGTGACAATCATCTGTACTGCACAGCACCAAGGCACCAGTGTCATTTCTTTTTATATTTAGCCTTACTCCACTAATTGTGTACAGAGTGACTCTAATTTGCCTCAACCTTCTTCTTTCCTTTCACAATTTCTTTTTACTATGTTTTCTCTTCCTTGTTCATTCAATGTTATTGTACAAAGCCCTACTCTCTGCTCACTATTTTCGTGTACCGCTATCCCACCAACCTTCTAAGGGGAGATAACCTGTAGTGCACCTTGATCCTTTGGACTTTTGTTTTAACGCGTTCACCCACTTTTGGCGCCACACCATCTTTTGCTTTCCGACGTGACTCTACACACGTGGTTGGCTCTCTTGGTAGATTACTGATAAGGTCATTACGTGGTGACGTATTTAGTAAAAGCGGTTATTCGAGGTTTGTCTTAAGTGCAACTCACAACTTACAATTGGTCGGCCTGTTTTTCACGCTTTTACGTATTTGTAGCTTGACGTGTCTATAGTTCTTCTTTTTCAAATTTACTACTTTGTTTATTTTTCACATGGTGTTATGAAATTTTTTGTTGCCTGTTTTGTATTTGTATTTGTCTGTATCACTGTGCTTATAAACCGTCTCATCTTATTGATGGATCTACCTGATGGTGAATCAAGTTTCGATCCAGTGACTCATATCACCAGGCTTTACGAAGAGCTTTGTAGTCCCAGGAAAGAGATAAACGCGGGAAGTCGATCTTGTAGTCGTAAATGTCGCCTCTCCTATGTTTATGTTTATGTTCAGGTTAAAAAGCCAATGGAATCTAACTGCAATGTCATTAGAATGCACTCGTCCTTATGAAAATATCAAGTAGATTTCACTCTCCAAGACTTGAAAGTGACAGTTAAAAGCAAAGAATAAAACCCGAGAATCAAGAGTTTTGCGCCATTTGGTTCTCCATTTATATGCATATGAAAACACTTAAAAGCATACTTCTCAGATGAAAGACGTTTATTGTGAAGTGATGTATCGATGATAATTCGAAATGGTGTGTAAGAGATAAAGTGAGTGAGATAACGTATTGTAGAGTTTTTTATCTTAGTCGTCCTGCCGCTGTATCGGATGCGATGTAAATTGAGAGTTAGGTGAGATTAAGATGCTTAGACTATGAGATAATATTTGCCAGTATTCTATTAAATTTCCCTCTAAGAATTTCTGGAGAGGAAAACATTTCTCGCCTGTCAAAGTTGATGGTTCAATTCAGTGTAACTTTTGCAATGTTGTTTTATCATAATTATCAATTTGTGTAATGTTTGAATTACTAATCATTTGCTGTTATTATGTACTAATTAGAGATTTATACATCTCTTGAACTACTTTGCAATGATTCCATATAATTGTTTTTGTGACAGTTCAAATTCTTATTAGAAAATTATAAATTTATATGCATAAATATGCATATATATGATTCCGCAGCTTGACAACAAATTCGCTGAAAAGAGACTGTTCACTGAATTCAATTGTTTCTACCTGTCCTAACAAGACTGTTGCACAAATTGAAATGTTGTAAGTAATGAGTACTTTTATCATGATACTACGAATCATCTCGATAATCAGCAGCTTATTTGTGACCAACGATTAGTTTTTTCTGGCGTAAAAGAATACTGGGACGCACGAAACCTAGAATTGAGAAATAAATACATACATCAACACATCATTATACCTCTTTTCTTTATGTATGCTCAAACACTGGTTAATTCGACGGAGAATTAGTCTGTTAAAATTATGAATCAGATGAGTACAATATCCTGTATTTTTAATTTTGCTTTAATTCACAACATTACATCTTGTGACACCAAGTGGAGTAGTTCTCACACTGTATAACAACTTCTACGAGGAATATACAGTTTCGCCCTGTTTCGCTCATGCAATGCAGTGACCATGATAAGCATGATTCAGTCTTATTGCTTTGTAAATATAAAGCGACCTGCAATTTTACGGGGAACGTGAGAATGTTCATCCTTTTTTTCAAAAATAGCTGAAATGATATCCAAATCTAGATAACTATCTCTAGTTATCTTCTGGTCGTATTTTTGGATGATTTACTGCTTCAACAATGCGGGTGTCACTTAATTTTATAAATCCTGATGTCAGCTATCAGTTTATTAGCCCTTAAAGCCGTTTTAAATGGTAACAGGGGTAAAACGTGGGTGCTATTACCATTGATGGTCTAATTTATTGCGAAGTAACGGTAATGTGGAAAACCACAACGACTGATAGACATGAAAACGTTAGACCTATGAAATCATGCCGACAGATCTGTATAATCTGAATAGCCTGGATCTCATATCTTACAAACTGAACGAGTGAAAAGTGAAAAATGACAAGTTGGCATAAAAGGTAAGGAATGTGACACTTCAGAAAATAAAATAGAAAGCAGAGATGCTGAATATACTCAACTGACAACAAGCAAAATTTGCTACTAATCGTTTAATTCTGATGGATATCAAATTTTCAGCACAATTTCCATCATTGGTGGCAAGGATGTGAACACTAATGTCAGCCAGGATTTCGACATCCAAACTCTTTATTAAGTTTGAAGACCCCTAGCACTTATTTTAATGAAAAAGTAGGAATTTAACCTACTAATTTCAATTCACTTTAGATGTATGCCTGACAGTTTAGGAACTTCACCAGAGAATTTAGCAACAACCTTCAGACTTCCACCGACAGATTTCTTTCTTTTAATACTTAAGATCAGAAGGCATGAAAAGAATAAGAAAAACGTCTTTGCAGCATTAAAAGGTAACACATTAACGCTGAACAAATGTGCAAAAGTGAATGGTGATATATATTATTCATATTTTGAGTTTATGCTCAGTCGACGTCACCCACCAGGTCATAAAATGGGGTTAGACTTTGACGCTTCGATTTCTATATCTCATATTGGCATGTAATAGGGAGCAAGGAACCAGAGCATATGAGAAGTCATAAGATCCAATCGATAGCAAAGAGTGAAGAGAATTTGAGATGTCCATTTGAGTGCCTATTTATTTCTTGGAACACATGATACTAACCATAATAATAGTCATTTTATGAACAATAACACGCAGTTTGCAAGAATATCCGTGTCTCTGCGGTTGTGTTTTTTCCAAATGTATTTTTAATTTCTTTTTAATTTCTCACGCGAGAGTATTTCTGCGTCGGTGGCACAGTGGTTAGGACTCTCGCCGACCATGCACATGGTTCGGGGTTCGAGCCCACGCCGGCGTACACCTGATATCTATGGTTGGCCTGCAAAATTTGGACTAGCGATATCCATGCTATAATCAAAAATTAAAAAAAATTAAATTAAAATGCTGAAAATTCCATACTGGTACCAAAAATACGGTGTGGAATCAAGCTGTAAATCAAAAATAAATAAAATAACAAAATAAATTATTCAAAGTCTTTCACGGCGTTACATTATGTCACTGTTGGCGTGAGTGTGCGCCGTTTGCATTTATTATCACTTTATTTGGGGATATTCTTCCTTCTTTTCACTGATGATTATATATTGCAGGTGATTTCACATGTACAACTGATAAAAGTATATACGTTGGTCACAGTGGTATATTGCAACTCCATCTACAACGACATGGATCGGAACAGTGAAGCTGGGATAGTCATATTGTTAGAAGGCACGATTTCAGCTAAGGGAAGAATGATTAACCACAAGAAGTTCGATGCTTCTGAGTTAATGGCATAATTCTTAAAAATTACATTAACGTGGAAACACATAGTAGCCATGTGGAGGAAGATTCCTACCACTGAATCCTTCTTCAGCGAATCTTTACGCAACACGTGTAACTTGAATGACAAAATATCAAGAAGACTGACGTGGAAAATATTATTACCAATAAAACCAATAGGTACGAAACAGCAAAAGAAGTTTACAAGCTTTTGTAATGCCTTAATTTGGCTATGCGCAGTTAACTATGCTCAAATTCTTATCAGTGAATAATATTGTATTGTATTGGGCTTTGATAAAATACATTTTGTCTTTGAAGTAAAAAAGAAGGTACTTCGGACTGCTAGGAATTATTCAACACATTATGGTATGGTAGGCGAATTTTCTATGATTTCCTGCATCAGATTCTCATACGTCCTAATACTGGTGGTTGTGTAAATCATTTTACGCTGAATATCGCCACTCAAATAATAATCCTTATTTTAACAATATTGGTATTTTTAAATATTATTTGTCTGTTAAGATTCTTATTTAGAATTAGATCGAGTATCATTATGAAGACGAGTGTTGTGCGCATCAATCGTTTTTATTCAAATGCCTATTTTCTTACTATTAGACTTTGCATCTCTTCTCTAATCAACAAAATATTTGTTCATTTGATATTTAGAATAATAAATCGTTATTTCTAATAAAGTAACATTTACTGAGTAACACTTTTAGGGTACATAGTTCGACTGTCATTCAGGAGATTCATGAACATGAACGAAATATTCTCATATTTAGTCATAAAAAAAGGCACAAACAGCGAAGAAAATTTTCTTTTCGACGATTCATTTTCATGAGCTGAACAATCATCGAAAAGAAAATTTTCTCCGCTGTTTGTGCCTTTTTTTATGATTCATGAATAAGCACAGAGTAAAAAAACTAAACTCTGTTATTTTCATCTCCTGAATACATTTACGATATTTCACTACTTATTGTAATTAGTGTTGAGCAAAGTCCCTCTAATTCATTTTGAAAAAAATAACACTCAACACAAATTCTATTTATCATAAGTGTTCTGAGAATTATTTCTCCTGAAACCACTAAGACGATAGTTCAAATGTTTTGACTATCGGCTCACTTGAGTGTATTGTTTAAATAAGTAGTCAGCAGGAATCGATGAGTGTTGTGGTGACAAGCTGCATCCTACTGATATCTTATGTTGAATAGGTTTCTTAATCTTTTACTAGAGAAATAAGAATCAACTGACATTATGGTATTTGTGTTCAGATATCTGGACGAGATTAGTTATAATAATATTTTGCTTTATTGCAAGACAGTGCGGAATTTTCAACATTTCGTTTATTGTCGTATCTATTTTTATCTAATAATAATTCAAACAGTTATATTGATAATATCACACGTTTGCTATTTACAGTTCTTTTATGGTAATTGCAGTGACAACGAAGTCATATATGTACCTACATGTGAAACCATGAATATTAATACGGTTATTACCTATGAATGCTAGTTAATTGAGGCAGTGTAACCATACATTACAAATATTATATTATTATAATAAAGGAGCCAATTATTTAGCTAACAAAATAGTGATTCATACGTTTCACGCCTTACATTGTCTCTATCACATAAAACACGAGTCGAATATGGTATTGTTGAGTCCCTATACTTGGTTAAACGAAGATATACTCTTTTATAGCGACTCCTAGTTCTCACTGATGATATAAAATGGGAGAGCTGAGAATAAAGTGGGGTGTTGAGGGTTAGCGAATGCAGACACCGACCATTTATGAGTTTAGATGTTGATCAACTAATGTAGTTATAAGCTGACTAAGTTGCATACCATTTGACCTGTTAACAACCTATAATGCCCTCCTCAAAGCAGTATAGTCCTTTTTCAGTAGATCAGTGAAAACTGAGTTAGTGGGCAGCAATAAAATACAATAAGTAAGGTGAAGGGTTAACAAATTGTAAATGCCAAGGTAGCATGATTCCATTTAGTTTTACTTTATTGATTTAGAAGCTTACATGGAACATTTTCTTGGAGATCGAAACAAAATCTTCTTATCCACGTGCTCTTTTCTAACACTGAATGACTATTTCAGTTAGTTCCTAATGTAATGTAGCGTCCACCTTTGATTACTGTGATGAGGCCTAGATTTATTTGTCATATAATCGAAGTATACAATAAAATCAATTCCTATCACTTGGTCTGAATTTTTGAAATGTGTCGAGTGAAACCAATGAACCACAAACCAAGGTCCAGTTCGAGAATTTAATGACCTAGATATTTGACTGGTCGCCTAACTTTTATAAAGATCTCGGTCAATTTAGGGCATTCCCCTGAACGAGATAGTATGATTCATTTGTGACTACATCAAAACTACCTCAACTCTTTTCCAGTAGCATCCACGATTATTTAAAAAGTTAAAAGTTGTACTGAAGAATGAAACACAAGTATAATTCCGGAGTTCAGTGACGCATTTCCCTTTATTAGCACATTCAGAGAACGGAATAACTCAACTGAGGCAACTGAAAAATTCAAATGTATTCTAACAGATCTGGTACCTTTCATTACCGTGAAAAGCCGCCCCTCCTTTAACAGTTTTTTTTTACGTTTTGACTGTTATTCAAATATCCTTATAACACATTTCTGTGTTTAAGCTTATCGCGGTAAGTTCAACAAGAAAAAAGTAGTGGATGCGTTAATATAAGAAAAATTATTCAGTTTACGCTGATACAACACTACTGTGGGTGACGTTCCTATTCCTTTCACATGGCTTATATCTAAATTTCTTGAAGCTGAGTGCTCACAGAAGACACGTTCCTTACTCGACCGACTTGTCGCGATCAGATGAAAAAAATGATTGTCTTTCGAATAACAAATTACTTCAAGCAGCCAGTGTGCTCTTGTCCCCTCCGAATACCTTTTCATACCAGCTGTCAGCGGGCAACCTCATACAGTGCAGTGGTGCAACGAAATATGCTGACACAGTAATTACTAAGTTAGAAAATGAACGTTCAACTGAAATAATAGAGGTGTAAGTAAAATTGAATCTGGCCATCAAAAGAAATGTAGTAAGAATAGGAAGTTACTCTCTTGATATCAAATAATTAGAAAGCAGCATTAGTGAACGATTCGCCCTACGTTAAAGCGATTTCAAAACATCTCCCTGCAAAAGTTAGGCGATTACCTTATACACACTTGCATATTCCATCAATATATAAAATGCAAATTTAAGATAAGACTTCATGTTTCAGAATACGCCTATCTGCGGGAAGTTGTGATTGTTGGAAATTGTATATCCGACTGTATAAAACAATCGTCCCACTCACTGTTAACTCTTGTGATTTGTTTTGCTCGAACTTTGACAACCGATGTAAGTCAATTCGAGAGCCAATGAAAAGCCGGAAAGCACTGGACAGCTGTTTTGTTATAGTTTGGGACTCTTAGACGTTATCTACTCAGTGTGTCTCAATGCTTTCCGGCACCAAGGTGAGCTAGTAGTTCATCCAGCTAGTGAATGTTCCATGTTATCCAACCTCCGCCTATTCACGATATATATATATATGTACAGGGCAACAATCAGCAGATTTTATAGGACGGACACTGATATATTGCCTTACTTGTTGGACCACACATATCTTGACTTCTCACTACGACTATAGGAAATGTCCTCTAACGGGCCAGTGAATAGTGACCATCAGAATGATTATCGTATGCAGGTTTTCAGTTATTAGATTGGTTGAAGGCTTGGTCATCCACTCACGTCTTTTACCGAACCAATGAATATCCTACTAGTACTGACAATTCCTCGTTTGTGAGATACATAATGAGTGGAAGCAATAAAAGAAATTCATCAGATTTTAATAATAAATTTCAGAGAAATTTCTTATAAACTCGTCTTTTCAACTCCAAGTCAAAAAATACCACATAGAATTGCACATATATATTTGATATTTTTACTTCTATTCTTCCATCAAATATTTCTGACATTTATGTTTAACAGTATACCAGAGAAGTGAAATCAGTGATGTGCTTAAATCAGAGAAAGACAACGAGCGTCATCATTTTTTATGTAAAATTAGATATCTATCTGCAGTAATAATATCTTGTGAATTGTTGGAAATGGCGTAGTTTAACTCAAAAAATGAATAAAGGGTAAATTGATTGTTGGGAAAAATTATTTTTCATTATATTTCATTACATCAGTCTTGAACATTGTCTAATTTGAAGGTTGCATACGTCTGTGTGAACTGGCATATAATTAAAAACCAAATAAAGAAGGATATAATAAATTCTGAGGAATCGGGTGCGAAAAATGCCATTATCCAACGTCGAATACTGACGAAGATGAACATTAGCTAAAAGGTGAAGAAACGAAAATGATTGGGACAGAGAACAGCAATATAAGTTTTTGTAACTATGCAGAAATCATTGTTGCACATCACGGAAGTCTTATTTCTAACGTGCTGATCTTATTAACGTATTCACCGAGTGAAGTGTACACAAAGCTAACAGTATTTTGAAGTTTATAGTGGTTGCATGGAACTCGTATGTGTACATATATATATATATATATATATATTCAACTTGATGGGCATTTTATGCAGATAAAACTAATCTTACCTCAAATATTCACACTCGCTATATTGTAAGCAACACTGACTAATGTCCGCTTGACATGTGAATGCTGAACTGAGATAATTAGTTCATATCCTGCCCAAATTTACCACCTGATGTTTATCTGTAAAATGTGCCACCATTAGTTGCCTTCAAACAAATAATTTGAAAGTGATAATCTCAGTCATGATACGTCGAATCTAGTCAAATATTGGTTTTTCTCACATTCTAATGAATTCAAAAATAATAAGGTTAATTTGTAGCTTTACTGGCAGTATAAATATACCATCTAGTAACTTATCTTCATCAAACATCTGATTTCCTAACCATGATGTGATTTCGAGGAAAACAGAATTCAAAATACTGATATAATCACGAACTTACTATGACTAAAAATAACCCAAATAGAACTGTTGACAGAATGGAGAGTATCATAGTCTAAAATGCAGAATAAATGCAGATTTAAAAAAAAATTCGCTTAAGCAATCCGAATTTTGTGAATTATTTAAGTACACACTTATCAAGATAATTTATTTTGTACGTAAATGCTTGCTTCTGTGCTTCAGTCGTATAATCCTGATAAACCATTCATTCAGTCGAGGTAACATTTCTGACTGAGGCGTTTTTCGTAAACTCGTTGATAAGAGCGGAGAATAGATTGCATGGGATTGAGGCTAACAACCCTATCTCATATTGACATAACGTCATCATAATTCAGACCTTAGGCTTAACACTCCATACTGGACTCAGAAGGCAGAGGAGAGAAAACGTGAAGACATTATCTCGTGTTTCTGGCAGTACAGTGATAAGGCTTCTAAATGGTTGTGAAACTACTAAGGACGTTTTTAGATGAAAGCTAGTAATCAGATATATTGAAAGAATTCGTAGCCATATCTTCCAAATGTTATCAATTAAATAATGTCCACTTCATAGGAAGCTATTTACATTGTGGACGAAATCTTGATATTTTCTCTGGAATATTTTAACTGTCACAATCAAGCTCAAGAATGATGATAAAAAGAATAATTAATCGCTTATATAAAGTGAATTAATCGAACTGGGCTGACTTTTGATTTCATTTTTTATTTAAGCGATTAAGATGTGCTACAGAAGCTAGTGTTCATCATGTGCAATTTGTGTGGATTTATCATTTTGTCATGACTTACATATACACTATCGAGAACAATTATTTTTATTATGGTCAGGTAATAGCAAATCTTTGCAATGACTGTCAAAAGTGCACAAGAGATTGACAATGAAAAGAAAACAGTAAAACCCTTTCCATTTAAAGGCGGCAGCTTCAAAGCCACCACGATAATAAACGTTGTAACCACACCTGTCGTAATTAGCAATATCCATCCGTATGGCATATCAAACGGTGTAAATGCAACAGCGAAGGCGACAGACCACAGGAGAACCTGTAAAATGGAAAAAAGTGACCAAAAATGGAAAATAATCCTCATAAGGGATGAATAACTGCTGCTCTACAAATGAGGTTATATGCTCGTTTCAACGACAATAAAAAGAATGATTGATGATAATGATAATATTATTATTCGTAAAAATCAAATAACCACTTTCTCCTTCACCGTAATCGTTTTGAATTTCACTCATCCTCCCTTACCAGTACATAAACTGTTCGAAAGTGGTGATAGCGTGATCAAGTAAACCTTGATATATATAAAAAGGTAAAGGCTTTGAATGTCATGTTTCTCCAAAATGAACAAATTCACTTAGTTGTGGATAGTTTCAAGCATGTGAGTCTGAGTTGCAGCTGTGAATAAAGATCAGATATATGCATCAATTTTCATTTGTGTCTCAAATGGAATGCCTCAACAAGCAACAACTAAAGTTTTTGAACCGCATCCTATCTTGTTGGTTAGAAATGGAGTGCATATTGTTGAATATAATGCTAGCTTGCGTTTAGCATCCTACCTATTCTGCTGTTTTAGTGATATTCACACATAAAAAAGACAGTACTTTAGATTTCAAAAGTTAGGTATCATTGAGCGAACGTCGGTTTCAATCAAAAACTGTTGTAAACGGCTTCGTACAAACTGGTTATTAGGGATTTTCCGCTACCGAATCTTCCAGGAGAGATTACTTAACTATGTGTAAACCATCACAACTTTTCATTTGTTTATGATATTTCGAAGGGATCTCCATTCATTTAACCAACTTCAGTTATCTTTTAACAAATTGAATTGATGTTCCTAATTTCAGAAATATATAAGGACAAAACTTTCTTCAACCTCACAGGCTTTCTCTACCACCATTCATGAAAACATGATTGTTACAAAAACGCTGGTTGTGGGGAATTATGAAAATAACATTGACATGCGTTGATTGTGTGAAAATCACCAAAGTTGACAAGGAAACTATAGGCTTTGAAGTTTGAGAAGTATTAGGGGATGCAATCATTTCGTTATGTGAACAGAAGTGAGTTATTCCTGCACAACCTGATAACAGAACGATGAATCTCAAAATACATTAACCATAAAGTCATTGAATTTATTTTGGTGCATGACAGTCAGTTAGCAAGTGGTGCTTATATCTAAAACTATTAATTACTTTCTTATGTTGAACAACTATATAACTTCTACTGATATACTCTTTATCGTGGTGCAACAAATACTCGCCTTCCCCGTCATTTCTGTGCGTATTCTTAGTGTCAACATTTCAATCTTTTATTTTTTTCCCGTATTGAAGTAATAGCTAAACAAAGCTGCAATTCGGTGCAGTCTGCAGTTATACAATTTCGGAGATTGTGTGAAATATGAAGACTAAAGGGGAGGACTATATAAAACTGAGACTTACTACACTTCCGAGAATTAAACGGGAAGCGAAATATTTCGAATGAATTTCTCTGACAATTAGAAAGAGAAGCAAGAGAACAGCACCGACTGCCCTAAAAAGAAATCCCAAAGGCAAAAAGATCAGCAAGTGCTTTCCTAAGAAGAAATTATTCTCAACAAATACAGAAAGTTAGTTTAATTGTAAGAAGAGGAATAATCTGTAATAGGGATTATATAGGTTTATTTGTCACTTATGAAATGAGCCTACTATGTAAACGGTGATCACAGTAGGCGTCGCTGTAAGATATTGAAAAGTGTTAATCACTCCTGTAACACAATAACAACTGACACGTTTCGTCAGATATGTGAAGTAATTCAAAATTGAAAGTAAAATGACGAATAGACAACTTACAAAAGGAGATATATGGAATAAAAATGACTCTCGAAGAAGGTAGAAATAACTACACTGAAAATCAAAAGAACGTTAATTTATTAACCATAATTTCATCCTACACTTTATGATATAAGATGACAGCACCAACTGTAACAAGTATCAAAAAAAGTAAATCGATTATGAACTAAACCCACAGATAGAATTTCAACAGAATGTGATATTCTTACCCAAATAGTAGAAAAATGATTGACCTTTTGATTTTGCTGAAACTTGATAATCGAATGAACCTGATATGAATCATAAGGAACTATCAATCGACGTGCTGAAATCAGAAGAGAAAAAATAATGTGATGGAGCATTCAAACTAGAATGAATGCAAAGAATGCACAAAATACATTTGCTCAAATATGTGAACCAAGAGTTATATATGAATACTGCTGTCCCATCATGAAAATATTTAATAAAAGCACTCTGTCATATATCTTTATTTACTGGTATTATTACGAGGACAGTTTAGGATTATGTGTAATAAAATGTGGATAGCGTTATTTAAAGACGGAAATTATTTGGAAAATATCATGTTTTTACGCTATGCATTTCGAACAGTGTGATCACACATTTACTTGTCAAGTCGATATATATGAAAAAGGTAAATTTTAAAAAATGGCAAGAAAAGGATTTAAGAGTGATTAACACAACGTTGGGTAATACAATCGAGTAAGGATTTCCAAGGTAGGTTAAGAGTAATAATAAACTGTTTTTGAACACACGGGGGGGGGCTGAAGTATATGAATAACTATAGCCTTGGCGTATTTCAGTAAGCGCCCTTGAGCGTTTTTATAGATGACTTTAAAGGCTGAGTTAACATCAGTCTTACGGTTCATCTCGATTAGGTGTCCAGCTCAAGACGAAGTTGATACTCTGACACCTGTATCTATTGGTTTTTCACAATTCATTTGTTTTTCTGAACATTTTGGGATATACTTTTTCCCCTCGCATGCGCGATTAGTCCTACCTATCTATGTGTGACCACACGCACACAAAAATTGGTAAATAGTGTGGGATGTGACATAATCACTTGTGCACTTTTGAGGTTTGCAGTGGAGCATATTTGTAGCTTTTTCGACAATTACAAGTTGGGCTGCATGATAGGTTCTACGGATGATCGAATTCAACCTTTGTCTCAAAATCCTACTGTTTATTTACCCGTTATATCGTTATTTCATGAAAATTTTTTTCATAGAGACGGTATGGATCGTAGGTTTATAAACTAATTGACTTCAACACCTGTTTAAAAAATTCTAAAGGTATCTGTTCTCGACAAGAGTACTCATCATTATTTTGTGTCTCTCTACTAACTTTGTCTATAGCTAAACACCTAATTGAGATGAACCGTAAGACTGATGTTAACTCAGCCTTGAAAGTTATCTATAAATACGGTCTAGAACGCTAAAATTATTCACAAACTTAAGCCTTCCCCCTGTGTATTCCAAAACATTTTATTATTACTCTTAACCTGCCTTGGTAATCCTTATTTGATTGGATTACCCAACGTTGTGTGAATCACTCTTAAATCCTTTTCTTGCCATTTTTTAAAATTTACCTTTTTCACATATATCGACTTGACAAGTAAATGTGTGATCAGACTGCTCGAAATGTATAGCACAAATATATGACATTTTTTAGATAATTATCGTCTTCTAATAATGCTATCCAAATTTATAAAATGGACTGATTGTTTTAATAAAATGTGATCTAAATCTATATGGTGTTTCGCTATGTACTTTCAGGAGATAAATCTTCCTCATGATGGAAGTTCATTCCAACACACTACCAAGAGGCCTTGTGCTATAACAATATTGATGTTGTTGAATGTAATAAATCATGAAGTGCATACACTTGGTTAAAATTCGAGAGACGCACTTGCTGGTGACTTTCAGAAGTTAAATATTTATTACTCGATAACGGTTTGTTGATCAGCAATGAAGCTTTTCTAGTTAGAAATTATTAAATTCGCAAAAGGACTTCAGAAAAATCAACGTCTTCCACCTGAACCGAAAGAAAAACTCGATGGAAATATTTATTGCATTAGTAATTAGATAAGTGACTCACTGTCGCCAGGCTAAGGATCTTTCATCTAAGAACCTCTTTCATACATGACTTGTCAATGGGAAATGAATTTTTAAAAATGCAGTCATTGCGCAATGTAACTATACAATGAATGGAAGCTTAAATCTAAACACCAACTGATTAGGCATAATTTTATTTCCCTCCTAACTGAAATATACACCACAGATGTTCATGTGGGACAAAGCAACTTAGGCTTGGTTGACCGTCAACTTAAAATCGCTATGTGAATTCTCATGTTAATTAAAATTGAAGAAGAAATCAAGCAAGCCATTAATGACTTACATGAAGTAACTCGTCACTTCAAACTAACTCGTTTGAGAATATTCAGGTAATTTCTTTGAAACATTTGTACACATATATATTTTATTTTTATTTTATTTTTGATTACAGCTTGATCCCACACCGTATTTTGGTACAAGTATGGAATTTTCAGCGTGGATATCGATAGCCCAAATTTCGCAGGCCAACCATAGATATCAGGTGTGCGTCGGCGTGGGCTCGAACTCCTGACCATGTGCATGGTCGGCGAGGGTCCTAACCACTGTACCCCCGACGCACAAGCATATATGTATATACTGATATATATATATGCTTGTTTAGTGCTGCGTAGTCGACACGATTACATATGATTGTCCATAGTATGTTTTGTTTCTTATCATTACTAAACTTCACACTTAATGATTTTTTCTCAACAATTGTCATATTTTAAATATGAATTTTGAATCCTATGCACACTTTACAAATTAAATATTTGAACAAAGTAATAAGAACACATAATAGAAGTTGAACAGGATTCACTGTTTATTTCATTGTCATCTTTTCAGCTGTATACAGCCTTATTAATGAAATGTATTCAATCTGATACTGTTTTATAATACTCCAGTTCTTTTCAGGTAAAGTGTGAGAGAGTGAATAAGAGTGACCTTTTCATGTAGATGAATGAAACGAATCAAACTTCGTAAAACCCAGAATATTACCAAATTTATATCTCCCATGGGAACGAACAAAACAGAACAGTTTAGCAATGGTTACAACATGTTATTGCGGTACGTAAACTACAAGATAACACAGGACATTAGAAACCAATAAATTATATGTGACAAAATATTGCATAATGTTTATGGATGTTTATTTCTTTTCATTTAATAGCCATTAAGATTCATATGAATTCTTCCTCATTGAGTGAAGCAGTGCGAGAAAATAGTCAACTATCTTTTTACATAAACTTGCATCCAATCAAACAAAAAGGTTTTATAATGGCCCAAAAACCAGAAGTAATATATTTATGTAGGAAGCAAAATTAGTCATGAATCTCTCCTTAATTTTACCGAAATCAATCATTTGCAAATGACATAACGCAACAACCATCTTGAATATACCAAAAGCCTAAATGGAATTTAGACTGGAGTGAGGTGTAGGAGGATCAGGAGTATAACACTCAACAACCAAGCACATGATCCGGGGTTTGATCGTCAGTCGACGCACTTCCAAACCGATTTGAACTACTAGTAACGCCGGTGAAGGGTAGGAAGTTTAACGTGATGTTGGCAACAGCAATGCGTAAAAATGAACTCACTTTAACCGGAGCTTTGAAGATCTGGCTTGAAGCCCCATGTTGCATGCTGAATGTAAATTGCTGAAATTAAATAAATAATATGTTTTGGAGTAAAGCTTTGAATATGAGAATCTAGATGAAGTGCGATAAGATTATGATCGCTAAATCATGCTCAAAATGATTTACAGTTATAACTTTTTTCAGCATTTTATAAAATAAAACTATTTAATATTGAAAAGATATTTCGCCACAAGAGCCTTATTTCGTTCACAAATTAATACGCATTATTCCTTAAATGAAGCATATCGTCCACAGTATCATGAAAGCCTTACCTACTGTCCTAGACGTCACATGCATGTGAAAAATGAGGGTAAGATAAACATAAAGCTCAAAAACAAAATCAAATGGTAAGAAGTGCATTCAAAGGAATTCTACTGGATAAAAAATTCGAGTAATTGAAATTTTCTTTGTCGACAACTATACATTTTTGGTAAGTAGAAATACGAGTGTACAGCCTCTGAAGATGATTCTGTCGATGAAGAAAATTTTTTTCCTGAATTGGTCTTTTAATTGCCACTCAACTGTATGAATGACGTGAAACCAAGATCGACTTGCACTTTGATTTATACTTCAAAGCATACCGAAGAGTAGACTGAGAGTGAGGCTTTCCAAAATATTAGTGTCATAATTATAGTGAAGATAACATTGACTGTAGAATTGGAATAGTTTATACTGCGGTAGAATAAAATTCGATATAAGATTAGTTCATTGTAAATAGCACAAAGTGTCATAGTGTTCAGAACTGGATGACGTTTCTAGGACAATTTACCTCTCGTAATCATATCATAAGATTATTATTATTAATTAGCTTATTTGCGATGTGTGGAGGAGAATATCCACATATGGTGAGCAAACATTTATACTCTGTGTTAAATATTTTAAAGTTAAAAATGTCTTCATCACTTAGCTGCATGCGATTCATCTTTGATTGAAACCAATCACATTTGTACTACAAGAACCTTCAGAACTGTAAGTTTAACAGAGAATGAGATCATCATAATTGGATCATGGTGAGTAGCTCACTTTCACAAATAATGAAAATTTGATCGTCAACAAGCCATCAGCGAATTAGGTTTGAGCAAACAAAGACAAAATATCACTTGACGTTTCGAATTGGCAGCGACGCGTTCTTGAAGATTTCCAGTTTGAAGATCATGTGAAGGTAAGGACGAAAGATCAATCGGAGTATGAGTAAAAGCAGGAATTTACTCACTAACTGAAAATAATGGACACATGTATGATTTGTATGAGGTATTTGCCTTGAATATTGTCAAGTATGTATGCGTCTATGAGTTTGATAGCGTTTCTTTATTTCTTTCAGACTCATTGAATGATGCTGAAATTACACAAGCGTATTGCAAAGCTCGTTTTGATTTAGACATCGCTACAGGCAATTTTACATTGTTATTTAAGTTGATCACATAGTTCTTGTGTTGAACGCATTTCACAATGAACTTCATTTTCGTGAGAGACAAAAGTAGGTGGTATGCCCAGCGATGTGTTTATTATCAAGTTGTCGTATTTGCTTATACCAAACCATTGATAAAATTAGCAAT